TGACACCTGAGCAATGTCACAGCGCAGTGTGGGTACAGCGCTCGGCGCACGTGCATCGGCCCACGAAGGGCAGGCACCCGACACGGCTCTGTGCACAAGAGCGCGTGGAAAATCTGCTGGAGTGGCAAGCGCAGCGCTGCCGGGCCGGGCGCCCGGGTGCCAAGCCCTCGCTGAGGCGGAACCACTTCAAGTCAGGAAGAGCCCGCGGTGCTGTTGGCAGATTTTGGACATTCTTGCCCACGTCCTGCTAATACCCATGTGCCCCGACCCTGCGCTCTGCGGCCTCTCGGTCCTCTCACCGAGCTGCCTGGCCACAGGCCTGGCGACGGGAAGAGGCGGCAGCCCTGCCTGCCGCGGCCCCTCCATGCAGCCAGGCTGTGGCAGCGCCTCCACAGGCCACCCTGGTTACACCGAGCACTTGTCACTCCTCTTCCATTGTAACAATACAAAGACAAAAACTATACTTCTAAACAGTAGGAGCTCACTCTCAGGCAGACCGGGGCTTGGGGCTGTTTGGTGTCCACACAAATACCCGGAGACTGCAGTGGCACTGTGCCCCGTGCCACCCAGGGCAACTGCGTGCTGCTGGGTCAGTCCTGTCTGCCGTGCAGTCGCTAGATGTGGTCCCCTAGGAAAGCAGAGCTGCCCGATCCTCATCCTGACGTCTCGGAGGGTCACGGCTCACCCAGTAGACAGTGCGCCACTGTGACACCAAGGTCTCCTCTGAAGGGAGTCAACACAACTCTCACCATTCTGAATGTTTCTGTCCCGCACCCTTTTCCATTTTGGCAACAGTAGAACTGCCACAGTGGCCACACGTATGTGGAGAGCATCTCAGCTCCCTCGCGTGCACGCACACAGGAAGGCGCCTCCGGAGAGCTGAGCCCCCGGAACCTGGAGGCTGGCCGAGGCTGGCCAGAGGCCCGAGCTTCCCCGCTCCCCTCAAGCCAGCTTGTTTTGTTACTGTTTTCTATTTCATTTATTTCTGTTCTGGGCCTTACTGATTTACTTCTCCCGCTGAAAACTTATCCGACATAGGTACATGGTGCTGTTCGGTTTCCATGTACTCAGTTAACTGTAGGCCACAAACGTCACTTCAGGCCCGCTTAAAATAGCCTTTTGATTTCGTCTATGAACCACAACATATTCTGAAGTGTGTTGGTTGCCAGGTATTCAGAGATTTTCCAGGTATCTTTTGGTCAGACCTTTTTTTTTTTAATGTATTTAGCACAGGATTTCACTACGTAGACTGGACTCATAGTGATTCTGTTTTCAGCCTCCCCAGCCCTGGGATTACAGGTGTACGCCACCACTCTCAGTCTCAACTGCAGTCTCAGCGTGTCCCGGGGTGGGGCTGGCACAGCACGCCAGGGATCGAACCCCAGTCCCTGCACTCTGCCTAAGTAGGCGCTTTAGTCCACTGAGCTGTCTGGCCAGTCCGTCTTTTGGTCAGATTTGATTACTGCTGGCTTCTCATATGCTTTGCATAACTCATACGCAGTTGCCAAGTCTGGTTTGCATCCTAGACGAGGGGTGGAGCGTGCCCTAGATGCCAGCGAGGTAGGTCTGGGTGGAAGCTGAGGTTACCTTGTTTTGGCTGACGGGGTGTTTAAGTAGCTACTGTCACAGCACATGTGTCTGCTTCTCTTGAGATTTTTTTTTTTTTAATGTATCTCGCTACACAGCTCAGCCCCCTAGTGATCCTCCTGTTTTCAGCCTCCCCAGCGCTGGGATACAGGCGTGCACCACCACGCCCAGTCTCGGTGTCCTAGCCGGGGCCAGCTCAGCATGTGGTGCCAGGGATCCAAGCCCAGTCCCCGAGCTTGCCTAAGCAGGGGCTTAGTCTGCTGAGCTAGCTTGCTGGCCCTGAGGGTCAGGAGGCATGTAAATGGCTTCTCCTGATGAAAGCCACCTCCGCTTACCGCGGGAGGCCACCCTTCGTGCTGGTGCTGCTCTTGGCGCGGCTGTGGCGCATGCCACAGCCGGGGTGTAGGGTGCGTGCACGGCCCACAGCGGGCCCTGCATCTTCAGCCTGGCAATCTCTGTACCCGTTTTGTTGTTTATGACATGCGGTGATCTTCCTGCCTCAGCTTCCCCAGGACTGGGATAACAAGTCTGGCAGCGAGCCCCATTTCTGCCTTGCATCCGCGGCGCTGCGTGCCATCTAATGCGATCCTGTGCTCAGCGGGATGGAATCGCCGCCGCAGGTAAAGCATTAGGGCGCAGATGGCGCGTCCAGAGCTGCTCACCTTCACAGCTTCAGAGAAAACCACTGATGTCTCCCCTGAGATGTGACTTGGGGGGGGATTCACCTATTTTGGTACTTGCACTGCACCCGGACTTTATCAACCTTCTTTGAACTGGGGTGCTGAGGTTCCCAGCGAGGCGCTGCTCCGGGGCCAACCCTGAGCCCAGCCCACAAGAGCACGCAGGCCAGGAAATTCCCAAGTAATCACAAGCAGCTTTTATTTCAAACGCAGTTCGTGTCATAGGTCATCAAAATGATTCACAGCAGGTGGCGCCTCTTGGGTACCACGTCTCAGGAGGTTTAATGTGGGGCAACCAGTTTTTAAATTTATTTAGAACATAATAGAGAAAAATGTGTCAAGTTAAGTCTTCTAAGAAAGCAAATCACAAGTTCTTGATCAGATTCAAACCATTCTATCAGTAAAGGGGACTAAAAGGAAGCATAAATAAATATGAATCGAGAAATGTCCATTTCCTGGCTTTGGCCTCTCTACAAACTCTTCAGAATTCACATGATTTCTGGGTTTCTGTCTGGGAGAGAGCGGCTCCGGAAGGACCCTGCTGTCTCCACCCAGGCAGCGGCCCAGGACTTCCCTGCCCGGCAGGTCTTTCTGTAGTCCCCGTGGCACTGTGCGGGGACAAGGTGTGCCCTTGCAGGGAGCCCTAGCCTTCCAGATGCCACTGCTGTGAGGGGGCGCCATCACAGATTGCCATACCAACAGAGCCCCTGTGGCCCAGGGGCTCCGCTACTTTCAGGCACTGCCCCACCGACACCTGGTACAGCCGGTTATTTTTCTGAAAAAAGGCAGCAAAAAAAAACGCCATCAGTTATTTGTTTTTGCGTAACTCGCCAAGCCTAGAAACAACCTGGCACCCACAGGGGCCCTGAACCCCACCCCACTCTGTCAGCCTCACCCCGAAGGTCCACTGCTGCGACCCGCCAGAGCCATGGCACTTCATGAGGCGCGGTGGGTCTGCCGAGCGCGTTTCGGACACGTCTAGACACAGGAGGTTATTTAAAACCAATTCATGCTCCTCATTATAAACCCAGACCTACAGAAGAAAAAAAAGCACCAATTTTGCCACAGATTCTGAACTTCAGGACTAGCCAACCCTCCTGAGATTTGTGGAAGGACAGACAGGCTGCTGCTGTCGGGTCTCACAGCACAGGACTGCAGGCCCAGGGCCGGTTTCGCGCGGCTCACTCCGTGTTAGCTAGCCAACAGGGAAAAAGGAACGTCTGCCATCATCTGGATGTGGTGGACCCCCGAGGACCACGGTGTCCCTCGGCAGGGTGCTCTGAGTGCAGGACAGAGCTGGCCTGGAGCCGCAGCACCGGAGCGCAGCACCCCTCCTTGGCCGTGGTACTGCAGGCTCCTGCCACGCTGCTGCCCTGAAAGGAAGCCCTAAGGGGTGAGCAAACTTCGCTGTTGGATTTTAAGAAATCCTCCCAGCTTTAGGGCTTTCCAATGAGGTGATTCTCCTCGTTCAGAATCTGTGTGCTGCCTGGAAGGCTGCCGGCCCGCCCTGAGGATGGCAGGCAGCAGCCCTTCAGCTCCGATGTCACGGGACTCTGCAGAGTCCTCGCACTGCTGCCTTTGCAGTAAGAACGGGAAGGATGAGGCTGGCCGCTCTGCAGCAGCAAGGAGCTTTCTTCAGGGGGCCACATCACCAATCCTTCCTCCTCCTCCTCCCATGACCACTTGTACTAGAGCCCCAAACGTGGGCAGAGCAGGCGCCAACAGACCACACACCCCTTGGGCACGGCTTCCTGCACTCCTAACCCGCCTGGCCCCAGGAGCTGCAGTAGCAGGGCCCCTCCTCCCCAGGCTTCACACCCCACAGGGACCTGCATCTCTGAAATGACACTGCGACTCGAAAGCCAGGCCCACACACCACCACATCTCCTAC